GGTGCATTATACTTTGGTTTCATGTTCATGAGAATAATCAGAATTCGTTATGTTGCCTGGTTCGAGAAGTATGACTATGTCTTGTCTGCTGCGTTAACCGCGGGTGTTGCCTTCTCTGCCATTATCATCTTCTTTGCTGTTCAGTATCATCCAAAGGATATCAATTGGTGGGGAAATACCGTCATTGGTACTGGAGTTGACGGTGGTGTTGGACAAGTGGCTCTCTATGACATCTCAGATACTGAAAGAGGTTACTTTGGGCCAGAAATGGGCCATTATCCGACGGCATGAAGACGTCACTTTACGTAAAGATCCAATACATAGAAAAACAGTGCCAATTAAAAAGAGTTTTAACAGTGTGTAGTACCAACATTTATAGCATAATGTGCAAAAGGTGTGGTAGAACCACTTAGGAGTTGAGTAATCACTTTTTGAGACCCCCATATTCACCATGGAGTAGAATATCGTCCCCTTTGGGACACCCCTCAAACATCGAGAGGTCAGAGGGTTGGAACATTGACATATGAGAATATCTAAACGTCATGATGTTTGAACATCCAGTGGAGGAATGGCCTGTCTTCCATGCTGAATAGGATGACAGCAAATAACTCACACTTTTATCCTTATATTTCGCCTCTGGTCTTATTTCATCAACAGTAGCATATGATGTGTAGTTACTTGCATTGTCTTTTGGGAAAGAATGGAGGAGGACCTTTGGTTCATTTCAACCAATCAAACAAGACTCATTTCAAAGGACTTCAACTCAAAACTCAGTGTCTCCACTTTACTTACTCAAAAATATGGTGCTAATAGTGTCAGAGATGGGGAGATTTCCATGTATTGACACAGTGGAAGAATGATGTGATTTCGAACGGCACTTTTCAATAAGTGAGATATCCAGAGAGATATTCGAGAGGAGACATGTCATGCATCGTGTAATATAGTGGACGATCTTTAGAAAGCACCCGGTGTGAATGCTGAAATTGTCCAAGTGACATCTCTCCCACGGAGAGTGCTGATTTGACATGAGTTTGCTAAAGAGCTGTTATGAGGTTAAGGAAAAATCATCGGATGCATTTACCTGTGCCTCGAGTTGTCAACATGCATGTTGTTTTGCTGTTGAATCTTGTTGATGACAGGCCCTAATGGACGATATTTCATAGAATGACACTCATTACGTTTGCTGCTAGCGAACGGCGTAAAGGTTACAGGTTTTACGTACATTGATAAGATGGAGCCCTTTCGTATTGAACCTCAAAGACGTTTATCTCAATGTACAGCGTGATAAAACGTACTCAGAACTGTGGTGGTTAATGTAAAGCGTTAACTCCTTAAGATGCCTTTCGCTTAATTGACGCAGATCCACGCCTGCGATTTGCAACTTTTGACTCCACTGTACATACACCACTGTGTCGTTACATACTATGATATTGAGGAAGAGAGTATTAATTGAAAGTGATGATAAGATCATATCAGCTTATCTGAACTGATATGACGGGATTCCACCACTTTCTAGCGTGTTCCCCTTTTTGCTATAACCCCAAAACTTACTATAAAGAAAGACCAGTTTTCCCTTTAGAAGTGTCGAGGTATGAAGCCGACTATATAGTAAGAATTAGCATCAACAGGTTAGCCGGTTATGAGTTACGACTTAGGAGAATACTCAGAAAAGGAAGCTTTCGATAATAAAAGCTTCACAGAGAAAGGAGTCGGTACTTCCAAGGTAATTGATCTTTCTCCCTCTGAAAACAGTTCTTACATTGACCAAGTTGACAAAACTTTTGGCCAAAAGGTCTGGGATGAGAATAAAGTCCTTGAATATTACATTGGTCTTTCTCCAGAAGCCTTGAATTTGTTATTGGAGAAGTGCGGTCATGGGTACTCAACTACAGAGAGCGATGATTTAAGTGATGACGTGAAGTATGTGCTGGATAAGATCATCAACATGAGTGACAAAAGTACACTCGAAATATTTCAAGCAACAATTGAGGATCATCAGAATGATGTTAATTTTCCTATCGAAGATTGGGGGTTCATCAATGACTTTGTCAATGGAAACCTGGATATTCAAGAGCCTATGGTGAACTTTAGGGCAAAGCTTACAGCTACCTTGTTCCATTATCATTCGATCTACCCAGAAGTTCGTTCTATCACAGATATGTTTGAGGACCATGATTCTTGTGAGACCATCAGATCTTACACACTAGCCATAATTTGGGGCATTGTTGCTGGAGGAATCAATGAATTCTTTTCCCATAGACAGCCTTCTATTGTGTTGTCATCACCAGTTGTTTCAGTCTTGATGTATCCATGTGGTAAAGCTTGGGGGTACTTCATGCCAAATGTGTCGGTTCCTTGGTTTGGTGGTAAAATACCTTTAAACCCTGGGCCTTATAGCTACAAGGAACAGATGTTTGCAAGTGTTATGAGCAGTGTTTGCGGCTCTTCGGTGTACGTCACTTCAAACATTGTTACCCAAAGAATGTTCTACAAGAACAAATGGGTTGACTTTGGATTTCAATTTCTTCTTACTATGTCTACACAATTTATTGGCTTATCCTTTGCTGGGATCTTAAGAAAGTTCTGTGTGTATCCTGCAAGATCTGTTTGGCCAACTCTTCTTCCATCACTTGCCCTTAACAGAGCCCTTTTGAAGCCTGAGAGAAAAGAAGTCATCCATGGATGGAAAATTTCACGCTACAACCTCTTCTGGATAGTGTTTGTTAGCATGTTTTGCTATTTCTGGCTGCCAAATTACGTCTTTGGTGTCTTGAGCACCTTCAACTGGATGACTTGGATTGCCCCAAACAACTTCAACTTGGCTGTTGTTACTGGAAGTGTTTCAGGCTTAGGTTTGAATCCAATTCCAACATTTGACTGGAATGTTGTCTCTATGCTTATAGACCCTTTGGCTACCCCATGGCTGACTATTTGGAATATGTACTTGGGAGCATTTCTTGGGTTCTTCATCATCATTGGCGTGTATTACTCCAACTATTCTTGGACAGCATATCTGCCAATTAATAGCAATGGTATTTTCACCAATACAGGAGAGAGGTTTGATGTGACTGAGATCATCACGGATGGACTTCTAGATACAGAGAAGTATCAAAACTATTCGCCGCCATTCTACACTGCTGCAAATATTGTCATTTACGGGGCATTTTTTGCCCTATATCCATTGGCATTCTTCTACAACTCTTATAAAGAATGGTTCACAATTAAGACAGCGCTGAAGATGTGGCTTTCTGGATACCAAGAGTCCATCAAGGGGTTTAGTTTCAAGTCATTCTTAACAACCGAAGGTGATACCTTTAAGAACTTTAGAGATCCAACTTCTAGAATGATGAGAAAGTACAAGGAGGTCCCGGACTGGTACTATGTGACCATCTTGATTATTGCCTTCATTCTTTCTATCCTCACTGTTGAGGTTTATAAAGAAACCAAGACACCGGTTTGGGGCCTGTTCTTTGTTTTGGCAATCAATTTTGTCTTTCTGATCCCATTCTCTGTCTTGGTGGCTACAACAGGTGTTCAATTCGGCTTAAATGTTCTTGTTGAGCTGATTGTCGGATACGCTCTTAGTGGGAATGGAATTGCCTTGATGACGTTGAAGGCATTCGGTTACAACATTGATGGACAGGCTGATGGTTTCGTGAGCTCATTGAAGATTGGACACTATGCTAGGATTCCTCCTCGTGCTATCTTCAGGGCTCAGATCATTGGTACTTTCATACAGTGTTTCGTGAGTTTGGGAGTAGTTAACTGGTCAATGTCCAATATTGAAGATTTCTGTCAACCACACCAATCTTCCAAGTTTACATGTCCATCTGAAAGGACCTTTTATTCTGCAGCGGTTTTCTGGGGTACCATCGGTCCAAAGATTGTCTTTTCCGGATTGTATCCAACAATGCAATATGCATTTTTGATGGGATTTGGTATTGCTCTTGTTTTCATTGTAATGAGACGCTTTGGTGGTAAGAGTACCTGGTACAAGTACTTTGGAAAACTGGAACCAACAGTGATAATTGGTGGAATCCTTTCAACTTATGCCCCATACAACTTGACTTATCTGACAGGTGCCCTTTATTTTGGATTTCTCTTCATGTACTACATTAGAAGACGTTATGTTGCATGGTTCGAGAAGTATGACTATGTTATCTCAGCAGCTCTTTCAGCAGGTGTTGCATTTTCTGCGATCATTATCTTCTTTGCAGTTCAATACCATGCGAAGGACATCAATTGGTGGGGTAATACGGTAATGTACGATGGTGTTGATGGTGGTGCTGGACAGGTGGCATTATATGACATTTCTGCTACTGAGAGAGGTTATTTCGGACCTGAGAGGGGTAATTATCCAACAACGTAGAACTACTTCATTTTCTTATTGTCGCTGAATAGATTATTAGTTAACCTATGAATACTAACAGCTATATATGCTTACTTTATTGTATACATATGCTAGGATAGTCTCAGATAATATGTCAAGACCCCCATGTGTAACAGTGGGCTGATTGATACTGTGCCAAATCAGGAGCATCAATGCTGATAAGAGTCAACATCTTCTGTATAACTTTTATACAGAACTTTTTCTATTGAGAGGGGGAGATATAATATTCTACTCCCAGCTAAAGCTACATCATCAACTTCAGCAATAAACTGACTAATATCATTCACCGAGCAATACGCTTCACCTACTGAACAATCAAGTACATGATTAAATAGAGAAACTGAAAAAGAGAGCATGTGGCTATCCCATGCTATTTGAACTTATTTCTTCTCGCTAGCAACAGCTTTTTCCAAGTCCACAGTCTCACGGTGCTCAGTCGAACTATTGTCACGAGACTCAGTGCGCTCAACGATATCATCCTCCTTACTTTCTGCATCAACGATATCGTTATCCTTAAGCTGTGCAATGTCAGATCTGTCAGGACAGAGCTGAGCACCTTTTCTTCCGATGAGGTACCAAGGCAGGTCAAACAACTCTTCCATACTCTCCAAAGATCTTCCAGAGATTTCTGGAAGGAAGAACCATGCCCAGAACAAACCCATAAGCAACATAGCAGAGCCCATAAAGAACGTCCCACCTGGAGTAATTGTAATGAGCATGGATGGCATAGCCTTTGTGGTGGAGTATTGGTGGATATAGTGCCATGCCATGATCATAGCAGTACCAATATTACGAACACCCAAAGGTAACATTTCAGCGTTGATCAAGTATTGAATGGAATTCCAGCCCATTGTCCAGCCGACACCTGACATGTACAAGGCTGCTAGAGCCGCATAACTGGCTCTACGAGCTGAATCGGAAACAGTGGAACCTTCTTCACCTCCATTAGGAACAATGATCATGTAAATAGCAAAGAACAGAGTTGATAACAATTGAACCGTAATACCCAGGTAAAGAGCCCTCTTTCTTCCAAAGTAATCAATGATGAAGAAGGCACTAATGTATGCCGAAGTAAATTTCACGACACCTAAGAAACAAGAGTACAATAATCTATCATTACCTTGGACTCCAACAAGACCAACCAAATCAGGCATATAAACAGTGATACTTCCTGCGAAGGACCATTGGCCAAGGATTTGTGCAGTCAGCGCAAGTAGAATACGGTAACGGACAGATTTGACTAAGAAGAGCTCTTTGAAAATACCGAGAAGTGTGTACTTACCTCTTGCCTCTTCTTCAAGAGCTAACTGAGCTTGGATATCATGGATCTCTGATTGAACGTATGCATGGTCTGTTGGAAGGTGTCTGATCTTTGACAACATCAAAGCAGATCTTTCGACTCTGCCACGTTTGACCAACCATCTTGGTGATTCATAGCAGAAAAGACTTCCGATGAACAATAGACCAGCCAAAACGATTTTGAAAGCAGTTGGAACGATCCATTGCTGGTCTGAGTCCGGATCCATATTAACTGCACAGCCGTAATTGATAAAGTTAGAGAGGAAAGAACCCACGTACACGGCACCAGCAAAGATACAGTTGGTCAAACCACGGATGTTCTTTGGAGAAATCTCTGAAAGATAACAAGGGCCTATAACCACAGTTTGACCCACGCAGAAACCTTCAAACAGTCTCCCAACGTGTAGTTGACCAACAGACTGAGAAGTTATCTGAATAACAACTGCGATAATCCAGCCAATACAGACACCTTGAAGAGTTCTAATACGACCGAATCTATCAACAAGAACCATAGCCAGCAATGACCCACCAATAGAGCCGACAAGAACCATAGAAGTAATGTTAGACGCCAAATCAGCCAACTGCTCCGCAGTAGCGTCAGGATTATTCAAGCCAAATCTTTCAATGAAGGGCTCCTTAACAACGAGACCACCAATATAACCTTCATCGTAACCACGAGCGCAACCGAGAATACCAAAGACAAAACAGGCAATGTATAGAGTTCTATTAAAGATCTCTGGTGGAGCACCTTCCGTGCTGTAGTATTTGCCGAAAAACCTCTTCACTGGAGAGAAGATGTTGGACATTTGTGAAGTTGATGTTTGATGAGAGGCTAAGAACAACCAGACAGGAGAAACACGAATTAGATGTCCTTTTATAGACCAACCTGTCAAGACAATCCATACGTTCACCAGACCATCTGGTCTGACATAGACGATTTCTCCACCACGTCGTCACCTAACCAGTCAACTGCTTCATAACAGAGAAGTCTTCTGTGGTTTTGTGAGTACGATGCAGACTGTACAGACGGTTCCTTGAACTGTACGAGGTTCATACGCAGGATGGTGGGGAGAGCGGGCTACAATGGTATGATGTGGTAAGACCGATGACCACACTGTCTATGTCCTGATATGTATCTGCTACCTTGTACTCACCAACAAATAACACAGAATAGCCAAGAACAGTGTCTCAGTTAACGTGTAAAGCCAAACGTACGAGGTGTCTTGGTTCTTGTCCTAAGACCTCTTTCAGTATTGGCATTAGCATATTCGCTGTGCTTTTGAGGTCACGTCTTACTCTTCACATCAATGAGTCAAACAGTGTGGGGGTGGACTTCTACCATCAGAGACTCAGTTTAGTGTCTGTTTCTTGACATCAAAATGAGAACAGGGTTGGACCCTGATGTCGGCGAAAGCAAAACAAGGTTTCAACGCTTTTCAATGCAGGCACATACCTTCACAAATGCCGACAGTATAAGTTATAGCCTTAGAGAGAACGAATTGTTTGGAAGTTAGCGTAGAAAAAGATCTAAAGATTCCCCAAACATTCTACACGATGTAACTCTCCACTGTATTGACTGTGTGTGGGGTTTTAGTCGTGCTACTCACATGGAAAGTAGGCATCTGTTAACTTTTGAAGGATGTGAGACTATGCATACGGAAGACTGCCACCACACTTTTGATGGAAAAGGAAAAGAGATTCAGTGAGATTCGAATTTGGTTAACACATTACTAAAGAGGGGAAATCGAGCTTTGTGGAGGCATCCTTGCTTGGTATTGCAATAATCAGCATGACTTTGACGGTAACCCGTCTTTCTACGGAAACCCTGAGGAGAAACTAAGCGTTGTCCATGTTCAGTACACGTAAAGATCAGGCAATGAAAAGGAAAGCCCTAGAGATGAGCCATCCGTTACTTTGAGGCTTGAATTGCGTGTATTATTTCCTCTATTGGTGAGCTTAAGAGCATGCAAAAGCATTTTTATTCCTTTTTCTCTTGACTCTAACTGGTGGGTTGAACTTACCCAGAAGGATTAACTGCGAGTGTCAAACATTAAAGTGTATCAAATATGATAGGACATTTCAACCAAGTACCCAATCATGCTGAGATTAGACGCATTACAAAGATTCTACTCTGGTTTAACACAGCCAATTAATTCACCAAAGGAATCTCTCATAAACACTGACCTTATGGACTCATGGCTTTAGTGGTACAGTTGTTGGGTTGTTACAGTTCCACTTATAATGACGTATGCATATTCATATCAACCTGGAAAGTGGTGGAATATTTGAATCATCACAATCATAAGGGGGGCCCTGAAGGGATAATTCAAAGTCAAATCACCTGGTTTCGGGTGTCCAGGACCCTTTGGGCTTACCGATCATTGCGTGTGTTGTCCAAGAGTCAAGAACATCGCGTATATGAGAAACTGGAAAACTTTTGTTTGAACACCTGTGGCAGCGACCCAACATCCACCACCACTTGAAGACATCCCGCATTTTTACGAGCCAATGTTTCTTTGACATTATCAAAACTGTAACCCCTCAAAATGGAGATATGAAGGTGTTATTGGACAAGGTAATCACAGCACGTTGGCTTTTCGTAATTCAACCACCATAGAAGACTTCTTGAACAGCAGCTACAATTACACAACAAGAAATCAATATTTAGGGAACACTGGGGGAGGGGAGGAGGTACCATTCCCCAAGTGCTCGAAGCCCCATAAATGTCCATACGCTTACAGAGAACATTTGTTTCTTCCAGTGGACTTGAAGAAGTTTGTAGTTACACGAACAAGGGAAAAAGGACAATACCGTTTTATGTCGCCAACGGGAAAATGCAGGTGTCAAAGAATTGAAATAAACCTCCACCATGAGATGAATGTTTGTAATGAGTGATTGTTGTGGTGGATGGCCAACTTCAGACGGTGAACCAAGGATGTGAAAAGTCATAGATATTTCCCATAAGTCAACAATCAACGTTGACAGCTTAAGAATAGATGAGACCTACTGCATGTTGTTATCAGCAGAATTTGGGAGCTAATCAAGTTGCAAGTTCCACTCTTCAGAATGTCAAAGCCAAAAAAAAAGAGGTAATCTTGGAGTTAATATTCGCCTATCATAACTCTAAAACAATCAAAATATCCACCAAACCTTTCCGTTCCTTCGCTACCGATAACCTTTACCGATTTCGCTATCCGCTCCGTTACCGGTTCTGGTCTTCACCGTTCACGGCATACCACTCCTAAGGCTCAGATACGTTGGTATCTAATTTGAACAGGGCATTTGCAGCACTATATTCAAACACGTTACGGAAAAATAAGGCGCTAATTTCTTCCCTTTTAGTCAACGTCCTGTTGTTTCATCGAGTGGAAAGCAAATGTATCATCAACCTTGCCGTGCGGAAAAATTTTTTTATAAGCCCGATTTGTGAACTCATGGCTTGCGCGTCATCGGGATATTCAGATTGGGCCTACAGAGTTGGTTTACCTATTTGTCTCGAACCCTTGTAGACATTTCAGTTATAAACTTGGAGACTCTCATCGTCGTCATCTTTGAACCACACAAGTGGGAAAGTGTCTGGGTATGACAAACTGTGCGATATTTCGTAGTTTCACGAAGCTCTGTGACGCAAAGTAGGGTGTAAAGGTGTACTTCAACGTGCACTGGCCGCGGTGGTACTTTGAGCCTTTCCAAAGACGAGTATCGGACATGCTGCTATACGAGGCTAGATAGCGGTTATGTATAATTCTCGGTGCATACCGGTTAGAAAAAAAATAGCCTAAAGACAACAAAACTGTTCATTAGCCCACAAAGAGATGCCAAATGACAGGTTTTACCTTTCAAGTATCAAGACACGGTGATTGAAAAAGGCAAAGATCCTTATAGTTGCCACATGTAGTTTGTTCGGAAGACCTTTGTTGGTCAACATCACCAGTCTCCCCGCACAATACAAGACAATGCAGTTACCGTGAGACGAGGAGTAAAAAGCCCAAAGCAGACATATAGAATGGTCTCCACAGGCTGAGCGTTTTCTCTCATACGGGTTTGTTGAACAGCGGACGTGAGAACTCCAGAGGAATTGTTGAAGTTGATGAAGGTGAAAAAAGAGAGGCATTCCTTCCGGGATTCTACGGCGACGTACAGTGTACCTGTTGTAGCATTTTACGCGCAGAAGAAAAATACAAGGACGAGGCACTGATCCGAAATTCTCCGGAACGTGCGCAAAACCAGCACAGATAGACACATCCAGACATCATTTTGTGCCTTGGACATGGCGACACTGTACACACAGTGAAACACCATAGATTGAAGACGGCACTCCAGAGTCGAGACGTGTGGGCGTTCCCTTCCGCTAAAGAGAATAACGCAATATGAGTCATACCTCGGAGCTTTTTTCCACCAATGCATCGTTGTTTCTTTTTTCACGATGCTTTCATACCGTATGGAAGTGTCAAAAAATCTGATGTTTTGGTTCCGTTTACCCCAGAATTCGCAATCGCTTTGTTCTCTATGGGCATCTGGAACTTCACCAAAATTTCAACGTGTTTGTCTGATGCGAGTGAGCCAAGCATGCTAAATATGGTTTGCGCAGCAGAAAACATCAAAGCTTATCCGACATATGGAGCCAGGGAACACGGTAGACGCCACACCAGCGCAATGCAATTCAAGGCAACAGTTAATTGGCTGCGCGTGCCTAACAGTTGGGTTTTTTATCGTTTATCGTCTAGAGAGATCAATCGAACCTTGCGTAACTGACCATTGACACCCCCTTCTCAATCCAAAAGCAACGCACCTAATAACTTTCTTCAGCTTAATTCCAGTCGATGATTCATCTTCTTCAATCACATGGCACCACCTATTCCCCCCCCCCCTTGAACGCTTAGCCCGTCCTGTACATTGTGATGGTTGTTGGTAGGCATATGCGCGAGACGCCCATTGGCCGACTACGGCTGTCTGAAGCCTAGGGCACGGACACCCGGCTTTCTCCTTCTGCCTAAATCGTCTTTTGGGCTTGTTTTTCGCCCGCTCCTCTGTTTCTTTGGCACCAAAAGTCGTAGCAGAAAACCTGCACCCGGTGGTTGTCGTCCAGTTTCGTTCCTAATGTCCAAACAAAAATAAAAACTGCTTTTGTCCTTTCAATCGCTTCGAAATCTCTCTAACATTTCAAGACAAAGAGACTTAAGTTTAACCCTGTCCTCATTTCTTTTTTTTTCCTACCCGAGGGCTTTCCCCTGTTTCTTACTCATCCTGTGTCCCCTCTTAGAGCGTTTTAATATAAATAGAAGCACAGGTCCCTCTCTTCACCTACAAGACCTTTGACAAGATGCTTTCCAAGAGATCCTCTAGACTTGCGAATCTCATCTCCGCTAGATATTCCATCAAGACCATGACAATCTCAAACACCCAAGCTGCTGATGGCAGACGTTACTCCACAACTGTGGGTGCCAGTGGAGCATCGACGACAAGAGACACGACGATAGGTTCCGTTAACCAGTACCCAGATGAGTGCATTATGAAGGAGCCTATTGGTGAGGCTGCTCGTGCAGCCATCAATGTTGCAAAGGCCACAAGACTCTCTGCTGTTGGCCCAATTGAGTGTTCTCTCAACGGTTTCCAGCTGCTGAACTCTCCATTGTTCAACAAAGGTTCCGCTTTCACACTCGAGGAGCGTGCTGCGTTTGGCCTCGAAGGTTTGTTACCTGCCCAGGTCAACGACCTTAATGCCCAAGTTGAGAGGGCTTACAAGCAATTGTGCTACTTGAAGACACCATTGGCCAAGAACGACTTCTGTTCGTCAATGAGAGTGCAGAACAAGGTTCTGTTTTACGAATTGGTGAGAAGACACATTAGAGAGCTGGTTCCAATCATCTACACACCAACTGAAGGTGACGCCATTGCTGCCTACTCCCACAGATTTAGAAAACCAGAAGGTTGCTTCCTCGATATCACAGATCCAGACTCCATCGACCGCAGACTGGCCAACTTTGGTGAAGATAAGGATGTTGACTACATTGTTGTCTCTGACGGTGAAGGTATCTTGGGTATTGGTGACCAAGGTGTTGGTGGTGTCCGTATTGCCATCTCTAAGCTTGCCCTTATGACCCTTTGTGGTGGTATCCACCCAGGTAGAGTCATCCCAGTGTGTCTTGATGTTGGTACCAACAACAAGAAGCTGATCACCGATGATTTGTACATGGGTAACAGATTCCCAAGAGTCCGTGGTAAGGAGTACGACGACTTTGTCGACAAGTTTATCCAGGTTTTGAAGAGAAGATTCCCATCTGCAACTCTTCATTTTGAGGATTTCGGTGTCACCACTGGTCGTCCACTCTTGCAAAGATACAGAAACGAGTTGGCTTGTTTCAACGATGATATCCAAGGTACCGGTGCTGTTGTTATGGCTTCCCTCTCTGCAGCCTTGAAGCACACCAACCGTAACCTTTTGGACTCCCAAATTGTCATCTACGGTGCTGGTTCCGCCGGTTTGGGTATTGCTGATCAAATCGTCAACCACATGGTTACACACGGTGCCACTGTCGAGGAGGCCAAGTCTAAGATTCACGCTTTAGATATCAGAGGGTTGATTCTCAAGTCCATGAAGGAGACCTCCACTCCAGATCAACACTCTTATGCCGATGAAGATGCTGATTGGGAGGGAATCGACACAAAGTCACTGTATGAAGTTGTCAAGAAGATCAAGCCAACTTGTTTGATTGGATGCTCCACACAAGCTGGTGCATTCACGCAGCAGATTGTGCAAGAGATGCACAAGCACAACCCACGTCCAATCATCTTCCCATTGTCCAACCCAACAAGACTCCACGAGGCTGTTCCAGAGGACTTGATGGCCTGGACAAACAACGACGCCATGGTTGCCACCGGTTCGCCATTCAAACCTGTCGATGGATGGGTCATCTCGGAGAACAACAACTGTTTTGCATTCCCAGGTATCGGCCTGGGTTCTGTTCTTTCGAGAGCCAAGATCATCTCAGACAAGATGATCTCTGCCGCCGTGGACCAACTGGCTTCCCTGTCCCCATTGTCCAAGGACCCTAAGGCTGGTTTGCTTCCACCATTGGAGGTCATCAACGACACTTCTGCCAAGGTTGCTGCTGCTGTCATCCTACAAGCACTGGACGAGGGCCTTGCCCGTATCGAGGACGAGGTGCAGCCAGGCAAGGATGAGTACGTTACTGTCCCAAGAGACTTTGATGCCTGTGTGGAGTGGGTGAAACAGCAGATGTGGAAGCCAGAGTACAGACCAATGGTGAAGGTGGAACACAGACACGATATCCACACGCATCAGTTCTGAGCACATTGGAACAACGGCATTTGCTCTCTCGTCTCTTCTACACACCAGAGGCTGAGATTCATAACATGAAAAACAACACAATAGGAACGGTTAATAGTATTGTCATTATATACATTCACACACTGGGTTATCATCATATCTCATCACCGTAGTAACGCGGGAAGCAACAATAGCGTATGAAAGGCCGGTTCTAGAACAGAGCGTTGTGCTTATTTTAAAACGCGACGCGACGTCCCGGGCACAGACATCCGCACACACACCCGCACACCACGTCAAATTCCATATTGTTGGTGCATAGGAAGCGAGTCGTGGCATACATAAAATCCCTGAAGAAAAGAGTTGGGGAGTTTTGTTTGAGCTGCTTTCCTTACCCAGTGACTGTGCTCATTTGAACGATCCCTCAATGAACATTCTCGGAAGGCTGCTGAGGAACAAGCGATCACGTCACCTTGTTACCGGGGCTGCTGCTCTTGTGTGTTGCATCAACTTTTACCTCTCAGTGTACTCTGTTGCAGGGTTTCAGGCCCAGCGATTCGGCCAGATTCTCAAGCTCACCTCCAAGGACGAGTCGCACTACCTCGAGGTGTCGAGTAAGCACTTGAACAGGCTGCCTGCGGATGCATCTCTAAGGGAACAGCTGCAATTCCAGTACCCATACGACTCTAGCATCAAGATTCCAAGGATCATCTGGCAGACGTGGAAGTATCCACGAGATGATCCACGGTTCGAACGACAATTGCTACAGCATTCACAAAGTTGGATTGATCTACACCATGACTATGCTTATAACTTGATTCCCGACGAAGCGTCTGATGACCTGATCAAGTCCCTCTATGAATCAATACCACAGGTTTACGATGCCTTTGTATCGTTGCCGAAGGCCATTTTGAAGGCTGACTTCTTCAGATATCTGATACTGTTTGCCCGCGGGGGGATATACTCAGACGTTGATACCGTGCCCTTGAAGCCGGCAAACGTATGGGTCTCAAACAATGAAACTATTTATAACGATGTCAATGACGCGGGCCTCGTCATTGGAATCGAAGCAGACCCAGATAGGGACGACTGGAATGTGTACTACGCAAAGAGAGTGCAGTTCTGTCAATGGACAATACAGAGTAAGCCAGGACACCCAATGTTGGGCGAACTGATTGCTAACATCACCGAGACTACCCTAAGGAAGAAACGCGATGGAACTCTTTCCATCATCTCTGGAAAGGACGCAGGCGCAGACATCATGAACTGGACTGGGCCTGGTATCTTCACGGACGAGATATTCACGTACTTCAACGACTTGATCAAATTGAGACCCAATGTCCATATCACAAACCACACTCCTGTTAATAAGTACAACACCGGCTTGGACATTACCAAAGACGGTGTCGATTGGAGATTCTTTACCCTAATGGAGCAAGCTGTCGTGTTTGATGATGTGCTTGTCTTACCAATCACCGGGTTCAGTCCCGGTGTCGGCCATATGGGATCAAAACATCTGTCGCATGAAGATGCCTATGTCCACCATATGTTTGAAGGAAGCTGGAAACCTGAGAATGAAAGAATGAAAGGTACAGTCTCACGTCACCGAAAAGATTGATGATTCCATTATGTACACACTTATTCGTCCAAGTTCTTAATGATGAGAATATAACATACAAATCTACTAAACAAAAAACATCGGAATAGTAATAATTAGAGACCAGAATGGTGGTACTTAGTAGTTATGATAGTTAATAGTAATGACACAGACCCTTATTGTATAGTACATTATCAGAGAATGACACATGACGATTTCTTCTTCTTTGTCTTCTTGTGCTGTTGGACATTCTGCTGAGCCGCAACTTTCCCCAATGGCTTGGCCTGCTGAGTTGCTCGTTGCGATGCATACGATGCCTGACGTTGTGACTGTTGATTGTTGTGCAACTGGCCAGCCTGTGACATCTTTCTCTGCTGATTCTGTTGTAATACGTTTGTAGAGGACAGGTTCGACGTCGATTGCATTCTCGAGTCAGGGTTAACCGGCTCACTCTCGCTACGCATGATCTGTCTGACAACGTCAATGAACGCTTCGTCAACATTGGTCTTGTGCAGTGCAGAGGTTTCGTAGAAGGGCACTCTACCCCATTTCTCACTGATTGCAATGCCATCTTCCGGTTTGAGTACGCGCTCGTTGACGAGATCGCACTTGTTCCCAACCAGAACCATTGGAACGTTAGTGGAATCCTTTATACGCAGCACCTGTTCTCTCAATGCCAGCAGTTCTTTCAGCGACGATTCATCGGTGACGGAATACACCAAGATGAAGCCCTTGCCTGATTTGATGTATAGCTCTCTCATCGCGGTGAACTGGGCGACACCGGCCGTGTCCAGGATCTCAAGGTCACACGCGCGTCCGTCAACTTCAATCTGCTTTCTATACGAGTCCTCAATTGTGGGATCGTAGGTGTCAATGTACACACCTTGGACAAATTGTACCGTGAGACATGACTTACCCACACCTCCTGCTCCTAAAACGACAACTTTATAGTCTATTTTTGAGGGGCATTGCAGGCCCTTTTGTTAGTAACGGTCAATAGCTGGCAAAAGATGGAGGGACAAGACATAAACACACAGACTCAGGATGTAGACACATGGTGCAGACAAAGAGACGTTTGTGTGGATATGTCTCCTGTGTACATTGAAGACTAACCTCTCATATTTTCTCTATCTCAATTGTGAAGCGCTTGCCGTTCTTATTTGTCCCCTTTGTCTCTTTTCTGCGTCTTTTTTGTTGATTAATACAATGTCCGCTTTCGATGCAAACGAAGTCTAGTCTCAGCTCTATAGAATATGTAGGAAAGGGATTCTTCACACGTCTGTCGATCTTTAAAGTTTATAAAGCGGCAGAAAGTGGTTGTCTGGGGGTGTTGATTTATGTCTTGAATCGAAATTTGAAACCTTCTCCTGGCTCCACTGTCCAAAGGATTTTTATTCAGATCGAAAAGGGACAGACAAGACAACAGCAGAGAAAAAAATCACGAAAAAAGACAAAACCCAGCTAACCGCGGGCATGAGATCTCAATCTGCAAGGAGATCCAGGAGAAAAGCAAAACATACCACAACACAGCGTGCGCATACCATGTTGTATCTTGTGGTCGCTTGAGTTGTGCGGTGGAGTTTTTGTTCAGGTTCTCCACCAATTATCAATCTCTATTTGTCCAATGTATTCCAGTTTGGAGGACAAATTGTCCTCGCTATGTACATGCATTTATATCACCCTTTATATACGAAGTCAAGACTGTTATTTCTTCATCTGCTTGACGATTGCGGCACGAACGCTGGATTCAGATGCCTTCCACTCATTCTTAACCGTGTCCCATGGAACTTGTTTGAAAATTTGGTTCAACTTGAGATCCTTAGCGTTCAGCTTCTCCAGGAGCTCAGTCACCTTCGCTTGAACTTCCTCCTCGCTGGCAACTGGAAGTTGTTTCAGATAGCCTTGGATGACTTCAATCTCATCTTGTTCCTTTTGAGCCAACTCCGGTCTCTTCAGCTCGGTGTACTCCTTTATAGAGTCCCTTCTCTGCGAAATGGCCTTGGAAAATAGCTCGTACAATAGAAACTCAGTGTGTTGCGACTCTTTCGTGTCAATCTCCTTGTTCTTGATCAGGGACAACAAGCCCTTGACAGTATCCTTCTTGAGAGCATTCTTCTCCTTCATAGCCGTTTTCAAATCGGTCTTCAAGAGACTCACGGTGCTCTTATAAGCCGTTGAGCTTTGGAATCTAATAAACTGACGTGGCACAAACATCCTTCACCTGGTGTGATCTCAGTGTCTTGTTAACATTAACCTCGAAAGTGGCCCTGAAGTTCAGATGTCTTTTTTCAAGACAGAGGACAAGTCTCGAAAAACATATTCGGTTAGCACACGCTACAGACAGCACCGGGATGAATACTTTTTTGATCTATATATACTGCGATGGGGATTAGCTACTCTCTTTCTCCAGATATTCTGTCCACAGTGATACAAAGCTCTCCCTGGAGTTGACTCTACTGCTGGTGTTATGCGACAACCCTGCCTGCAATTTCTGTTCGTCGTTCCATCCCAGATAGTTAGAGATCAACTGTAGGACCTCAAACTTCTTCGTATCCCCTCTTGGAATGGTCAGGAAAGAGATGAACAAATTGGTCACTAACTCCTTGTCAACTTGTTCAGATGCACTGTTCTTCTTAATCAGTTGTAATGCCTTGGTCAAATGCTCGTTTAGGATAACAGCTTCGTGACGAAGCTTACCTATTTGTAGTTGCTTCTCTTTCAACTCTTGTTCCAGCTGAGGAATTCTAGCACAGTCATCTCTCTGTTTAGCGTTCAGATTGACCAATTCTTCGTACTTATCACTTGATGATTGTAACTCGGTTTGTAAAGCATTGAGGGATTCAACGTGCTTTTCAGAGGAGACTTTGAACTCGTTTGAGAGTTTCTCGTACTTCGCCTGAAGCTGAGATCTCTCATTCAAATGTGATTCTCCATCAGCCTCGAGCTGTTTGATCACTTTGTTGAGCTCGGATATTTGGTCTTGTAACGTTGTAATCTCGTTGTTCAACGACATATTAACGTTCTTGTTGTTCTCAATAGTGACAATGTACTCCTCGTTGGACTGTTTCAAACGTTCCAATTGACTGGACAGTTGACGGTTTATGCTCTCGAGTTGAGATTTCTCACTCGTATAGCCCGAATCCTTTGAATCGTACTCTGATCTCAAGTTTCTCAACTCTGCACTCAATCTATCACATTCGGCGTTTAGATCGTGACCTTCAGTCTTTAAAAGCTCCACAGTCTTGGACAATTCACTGTTCTCCTTCTCAAAGTGTTGTGACTTTTGCTTCAACTGGAAGTTTTGCTTTTCATATTGCTCTAGTTGGTCCTTTGTCTCTTCAAGTTCCAGTTCGTGTTCCTTCATCTTCGTAAACACAGATTTCATCGACCCGATCCTTGCGAGCAAAGCATCATACTGGACCTGAATCTTTTCCTTGGACTCCTTAGTCTGTTCCAATTCCTTCTGAAGCTGTTCAACACCCTCATTGGCCAACCTTAACTTTGATACCTCCTCTTCCAGTTCTTTTACTCTTGAATCATCAGAGACACCCTCAGACACTTTCTCCTCAGTTTGCACTCCCTGGTCTTGAGAACTTGGGCTATCCACTCCAGTCTCTTGTAGTACTTCAACTTCCTCGGCAACCTCCTCACCACCATCCACCGCAGTCGGGCCATCTTCACTTGTGATAGCTTCCTCTGCGTTTTCCTCAGCAGCGCTCTCTTTTGTATGCGTGTCAGGTTGTGACTCGTGTACTGCGGTTTCAGCCTTCGCATGCTTCTTGTTCTTATTATTGCTATTCTTCTTCTTAGCCATTGTGAGTCTCCTTAGTAGCAAAATAAGGGGTCTGGCGTTAAAGTTGAAGGGTAATTTATGGTCTCAGTTTCTAAAGCTTTGACCTTGTCTCGGTGCTAATTTCATTCAGACGACAAAAAGGGACAGTTTGGACAAAACGTCCTCACAAGGACAAAAACAAAAAAAAAAACACACTAAGACAGAACACTTGGGACTACACAAAAAACGACACAGACAGTTCAGAGAAAGCAATTAACGCCAAAGAGGACAAACAAAAAAAAAAGTTTCGCGTACCGCGTTCTCTTCTTTCAAGACAAACGAAGGGGACTTTCCAGACCAAAGGAGGAGAGATTGGGACATTGGGACTAGTATCAAGATGGTGGATATAAGACAGTTCTTTGGTAACTCAAAGGGGTCTAAGGGGTCTAAAGTGAGTATCACAGATGTGGTTGTTTCTCTTGATTGGAGTACTAATACGTTCCTCTTCACCTTTTATAGAGATCTGCAGAGACCGTCAAGCAAGCACCACCCAAGAAACCAAAATTGACAAAGTCCAAAGACCAAGACTTTGTTGTGTTGGATGACGACTTTGATGATGACGATGCTGCGTTTGACGACGACGATGATGTTGAGTTCTTAGAAGAATTGAGTAGTCTGCCAAATGAGAAGGCCACCAAAAGAGGTACTCGCTCGTCAACGGCAAAGACGAAAGCCGCTTCGCCAGTGAAGACTTCTAAACCACCCGTGGAATCACCTCAGAAGAGAAAGACCGTGACTCATACTGAAGAGGTACCAGAAGAGACACCAAAGAAGTTAAGGACCTCTGATGCAAGAACAACACCTAAGAAGACCCCTTCAAAATCAGCGTCCCAATCAACCGGTATCACTGCAATGGATGTGCTTGCAAAGATTCCTGATGCCGAGTTACCAGAGGATATACCGACAGACAAGGGCACCTTCAACTATCAACAGTTCAAAGCTCGCCAGGCGGACGTTGCACATGCCCCTACCAATCTTGAACTGCCTGTTGGCGCTCCAAATTGTCTAACCGGCCTGACCATGGTGTTCACAGGTGTCATGCCCAACCTGGGAAGAGAAGATGCGGAGGCATTGGCGAAGCAGTATGGTGCCAAAGTGACCAAGTCCATATCTGGAAAGACCTCTGTTGTTGTCATTGGCGAAGAAGCGGGCCCGTCAAAAGTCCGTAAGATTAAGCAGCACAAGATCAAAGCCATAGATGAAGACGGCTTCATTCAACTCATCAAGGGAATGCCGGAAGAAGGCGGTGATGGCGATGCGGCAGAGAAGGCACGCATTAAAAGAGAAGAAGAAGAGAGGAAGGCTATGGAGGAATCAGCCAAGTTAGAAGCACAGGCTAAGTTAGAGGCTAAACAGAGAGAAAAGGCCATAAAGGAGGCAAAGGCGTCTGGCAAACACCTAAAACCATCCGAATTGAAATCTGACGATGAGAAGTTATGGACTGTTAAGTATGCACCAACAAGACTAGACCAGCTGTGTGGTAACAAATCAACAATCGAGAAACTGAAACAATGGTTAATAGACTGGCCAAAGAAATTCGGGAACAAGAAGCCAACAAAGGGAGAGACTGACTTCCGTGCTGTACTCATCCATGGACCACCAGGGATTGGAAAAACCACAGCAGCGCACCTAGTTGCTGAATCCCTGGGATACGACGTGATTGAGCAGAATGCATCTGACGTTCGTTCACAAAAGCTGTTGAACAGTAAGATTGGTGGTATTTTGGACAACACCTCTGTTGTTGGTTATTTCCACCATGAGACACCAAACGATACTGAGAACAAGAACAAGTTCTGTATCATTATGGATGAGGTCGATGGTATGTCCGGAGGTGATCGTGGTGGTGTTGGCCAGTTGGCTGCGTTTGCAAGGAAGACACAGGCCCCAATGATCCTTATCTGCAATGACAAGTCATTACCAAAGATGAGGCCATTTGATCGTGTTACTTTAGACCTACCCTTCAGAAGACCAAGCGCACGTGAGATGAAATCCAGGTTGATGACTATTGCACTAAGGGAGCACATCAAGCTAGATCCAAATATCATTGATAAACTAGTGGCAGCAACCAGCAACGATATCAGACAGATCATTAATCTGTTATCCACAGTGTCCACGACGCAAAAGTCCATTGACTCTTCCAACACAAAGGATATCTCCAACGCATGGCAGAAGAACATTGCACTGAAGCCGTTCGATATCATTCCAAGACTGCTCAACAGACAGTCGTGGATGGAGAATGGACCTTCGCCATTATACAAGAAGATGGAATGGTACTTTGACGACCATGCCTTTGTTCCACTGATGATGCAAGAGAACTACTTGAACACCAGACCAGCAAATGCACCAAGTAAAGTGAAACACTTAGAATTGATTGCCGAAGCTGCAGACACCATCAGTCTTGGTGATCTTGTCGATAAGAGAATCCACAGCTCGGAGCAGATGTGGTCGTTGATGCCACTGCACGCAGTGATGTCCACTTTAAGACCTGCCTGTCTCATCTCTGGCCAAGCTGGGGGCCGTATAAATTTCAGTGCCTGGCTGGGTCAGAACTCCAAGACTGGCAAGTATCAGAGACTATTGACAGAGCTGCAATATGACACCAGGCTGAGGACCGGCACTGATCGTGTCGAGTTCAGACTGGAGTATATTCCAGTACTGGTCAAGAAACTGTTAAAGCCTTTAGTTGCGAGTGCTGAGAACATACCAGAGATCATTGAGACCTTGGACTACTACTACCTCTCCAAGGCAGACTGGGACGTGCTAATGGAATACACAATTGGTCCAGAGACCACAGCTCCTCTGCTGAAGAAGATTCCAACAGCTACAAAGTCCAAGTTTACTAGGAAGTATAACAGTGAAATCCATCCAGTGGCTATATTCAGACCTGGAATGACAGAGACGACGAAGGGTAAAAAGGCAGCAGGTTCAGCAACACCAAAGGAGGAGGAAGATACGCCTTTGGAGGAGGAGGAGCCTGATATTGTGGAAGAATTTGACGAATAGAAACTGGGGGTATCCGTGTATAATATCACTATAATGAAAGCCGGAGTGCTAACTGCTTACGTAATACATCATCAGCAAATTTTTCGTACCCGATTTGCTTATGTAAGCAGCTTACATAAGCACAGACCACATCATTACATAATCAACTACCATCCTCCGGTAGGGGGCGCAGTAGCACCGACTGGCAGAAAAATCCACAACAACAGGGAAACCCTACACAGCCAAAGCAGAGAGAACAACAACAACAACATACACACAACACAGCGAATCTGAGGTGTTTTGGACGCTGGAAGTTGCTGAATTGATCTGTTGGAGTGCAATTCTGGCTGAAAGTACTTGAACAATGTCCGCACCACCGTTGCTACGGGTTCCAGTAGTGAACAAGAACTCGAAATCACCAAAGCTGAAGCTGCCCCAGTTGGCTGTCAAAACCACACAACAAGCACACTCACAAGCACCGGTGCAGTGCCAGTCGCAGTCACAGTCACAGTTACAATCACAGGCACAGTCTCAACAGCACACATCGTCACGGAGACCTTTGGAGAGGCCACTACCATATATTGATACGCATGGCTCCAGTTCTAATAACTCGTTGAATTCCACTGTGACGAAGCTTGCACAGTTAGATGTCTCTGACGTACCAACCCCGTCCACTGTGACCAGTGATGCGAGTATGGGGCTGTTCTCTGCAGAGATCATGGCTGAGGTTGACCACCCATGCTCCAGCGCAGCCAGCAAACAGTGTCCATCACAATATGGCGACGATTCCCATACCCTCCAGGTTAAATACAAGGACGTTGACGAGTTGGACGCTGATGAATGGACTCTTGTTCATAAGCGTGGCGAAATCATCGAACTCGATGTGCTGGGTGAAGGAGCTGGTGGTAGTGTCAGTCGATGTCGTCTTAAGAACGGGTCAAAAATATTTGCCCTGAAAACAATCATATCTGATAATTGTGCAGATACCCAGAAGCAGATACTACGAGAGTTGCAATTCAACAAGAGTTGTAAGAGCCCGAACATTGTGAAGTACTATGGGATGTTCTTAAACGAGGCAAATGCCTCGATCTGTATCTCAATGGAATACATGGGTGGGAGATCACTGGATGCCATCTATAAAAAGGTGAAGAAACGTGGTGGAAGAATCGGCGAGAAGGTTTTGGGTAAAGTTGCAGAGTCTGTGCTTCAAGGATTGTCGTATTTACATGAGAATAGAATCATACACCGTGATATCAAGCCACAGAACATCTTGTTGGACTCTCATGGCCATGTGAAGCTGTGTGATTTTGGTGTCTCTGGCGTCGTTGTGAATTCGCTGGCGACGACATTCACGGGGACTTCTTACTATATGGCTCCTGAACGTATCCAAGGACATCCATACTCTGTGACCTCTGATGTATGGTCCTTAGGACTCACGTTGCTGGAAGTTGCAAAGGGCCACTTCCCGTTGGACATCGACATCAATGGCTGCTCCCCAATCGAGGTATTAACGTTGATTATGACGTTCCAACCAAGGCTAGAAGATGAAGATGGTATCGTGTGGACTTTGGCATTTAGATCATTTATCGACTATTGTTTGAAGAAGGATCCCTCGGAAAGAGCTTCTCCAAGACAAATGTTGAAGCATCCATGGATCATTGGACAGAGCAAGAAGAGCGTGAATATGGAAAAGTTTGTACAGAAGTGTTGGGAAGATGAAACTAGTGGGGAATAAATCAAGAAAGGGGAGTTCAAATTAATGTGCTTATGATTTTAATCACTTATTGATTGTAGAATGCTATTTGGTTACGCAGATAAAGATCTTAAACAAGTCATTCAAAGATTACAGAAGCTTCATCCTAAGAGCTGGAAAGAATGTTGGTTCTCGACACATCACAAGTTCTCTTGTGGTCTTGTAACTGGCCATTGATACTTTCCAGGACCTGTGAAGATATAGCCATGGTCAGCCAAGTACTGCTTCAACTCTTCAGGACCACGGGATCCATATGGATACAACTCTGGAGATGGTCCCTCTGGAGATTCCAAATAGTTCAAGAATGGAGTGAACAACTTCCAGCTGACATCCAACTCATCATCTCTAACAAAGTTCGAATGGTCTCCTTCAAGGGCATTCTTGATCAATGATTCATACGCCTCTGGGATCCAGAATTGTTGGTATCTCTTGGAGTAGGTCAGGTCCAAATCAGAGATTTGGGAAGTGGTTGCCAAACCCGGTGTCTTTGCATTCAACTTGATGTAAACAGCCTCGTTTGGCTGGATTCTGATAACCAACTCATTTGGAGGCATATCTTCAAAGATTCCCTTTGCAACTTGTTTGTATTGAATTCTGACTTCAACCTTACCTTCATTCAAGGCCTTACCGGCTCTCATGACAATTGGAACACCGTCCCATCTTTCATTCTCAATGTGTAACGTCATGGCAGCAAAGGTAACAGCCTTAGAGCCTGGCTTGACAGTCTCATCATCGACATACGCAGGCTTGGAACCATCCAATGACTTTGTATACTGGCCAATGATGATATCCTTCTTATCAATTGGGGCCATTGCCTTCAACACCTTCACTTTTTCATCACGGATAGACTCTGGATCAAAAGAAGCAGGTCTGTCCATCGTCAGCAGGGTCAACACCTGTAGCAGATGGTTCTGCATAACATCTCTGATGATACCAATGTCGTCAAAGTAACCACCACGGCCTTCTGTACCAAATGGCTCCTTGAATGAGATTTGGATGGACTTGATGGACTCCTTGTTCCAGGAGCTGTTGAGAATTTGGTTACCAAATCTTAGCACGAACAAGTTCTTAACCAGCTCCTTACCCAAGTAGTGGTCAATTCTGTAAATCTCCTCCTCAGTGAACAACGGCGACAGTTGTTTCTGGAGCTCTGTGGCAGTTTCCAGGTCTCTGCCAAATGGCTTCTCCACGATGATTCTCGTTATACCGTTAGAAGCGTACACGTTCTCCTTCAGCTCCTTGGCCACTGTGATGAACACCGAAGGTGGCAACGCCAGGTAGAACAGTCTGTGAGGCTCCTTGACGCCTCTCTCCTGCTCAAACGCTTCAATTGACTCGTTCAACGTCTTGAACCCTTCAGCCTTGTCGTACGGACCAGAGATGTACGACACCAACTTCAAAAACTCCTCAACCTTCTGCTTTGACTCCTCCGTCGTGGTCTTGAAGTGCCCCTTGATTCTGTCGTGGAGCTCCTCAGACGTCATCTGTGAACGAGCATACCCGTAGATCTTGGTAGAGGACGACAGATATCCTTCTCTGTAGAGACCGAATAGTGCTGGGAACGTTTTCTTCTTCGCCAGATCTCCAGACGCACCAAACACAACAATCACTGTGTTCTCTTTGAATTGAGTTGCCATCTTTGCTTCTTCAATGGTGATATTGTAGCTGTTGTAAATTAATCCGATGAGCTAAGAGTGAACAAAATGGGACAAATGGACAAAAAAATTTGGTTGCTATGCTCGGGTTATCAGCACCTTCTTTTATACAGAAATTTGGGACAAAAAAAATTCTTCCGAGGGTTAAAAAAAATCAAAATTGTGACACAAAAAAACCAGAAAAAACCCAAAAATTTGAAGGCAACCTTGGGAAATTTTCTGTGGACACTGAAAAAGCACTGCAAAAAGTTGTGATGCTTTCAAGACGGAAAATTAGTCGTTTTTTGGTATAAAGTTACAGACAAAAACGCCAACAAGTCAATTCTGTTTATAAAGCTTCAAGCTCAAACAAGCAAAGGTGTTTTATTTATTCGCAAATTCGACGCACTTTTGCCCCCTTTTTTATATTTCCAACAGCCCGTGGCGAAAATAAACCAAGTGCAGTTGAAGCGATGATAAGTCGTAGGAAGCGGAAAAAAATACACAAACGATAGGCAAGAACAGCGCTGGAGCGGGTTGGATTCCTCCGCCCAGTTTCCTCTGGTGAAAGGTGGTGATGCCCCCTGAGTGGGGGGAGGAAGGTGTTTTTTTCTCTCATTCTCGTTCAGGCTGGCTCGCTCGCTCGCGCTTTCTATTATTCTGCGCACGTGACTTGATGCAACGCTGCACCTCTTGATGCCGGAAAAACTATGTACACCGGAACAACTAAATCATAATCAGACAATAGACAATAGACCGTTTGGGCCATTGGGCTATTGTACGGGACGGGACAGGACTGGACTGGAAAAGGCCCTTGTTGTGTCCATTGGTGGTTGACCAAGGCTCACACAATGGCTCATCTGGTGAATCGACAACGAACACCACGATATCCGTGTCCTGCTGCTTCCATACGCTACCCCAAGTCACACACATACAACCACACGTCTGGACTTTGTAGCCTTCGGCTGGGTGATGTGCGCGTTTGGGACACAGGGGGCAGCGAGGGTGGACTTTCGTCCGATTTGTCCCAGACCGGTGCTTTGCAGGTTGGGCCACGCACGGACAAGACATAATGCACTCACATCATCTACAACGGCCATTCACAGGTGTGCTTCTATGTACGTTATCGATGTAATCTACATGGATAAGATCTGTTGCTCTCAGTGTTCATTCCATCAGGTGCACGCCGATATGCTTGGGCAATTGGACAAAGTCCACATTGGACATTGGCAACGGCTGTTTGGTAAACACCAGCTCAACGTCCTTCAGATCAATCTTCACGAAGATGTTGCAGTTTTGTAGATGTGAGTATAGGTT